CGAGGGAAACACCGATGGGGGGCCTCCTGCACGCGCCCCGACCAGGGCCCGGGCTGAGGAGGAGCCTGCACCCGGGGTACCTGCCCTGGAACTGGAATCGAACCCGGGACCCTTTGGTCCGCAGGCCGACGCTCTACCCACTGAGCCACACCGGCCAGGACTGCTTTTATCCCCTTAACGAACGGGGCATCCGCCCCCCTAGACCAAATAAATCAGGTGTCAACCCCCCTAATTTCCCTAATCAGGGGGCTTCAGCCAGCAGCGAGGGCCAGGGGGCCTTAGGGAGCCCGCGAACCCCCATCCGTGTATTCCTAAGCCCCCATTTTTTTTTTTAAATGAGAAGAGCCCAGCTTTGGTCGGAGGCCCAAAGGCGACTCCCGGAGGCTGAGACCCACCTCGCTGTTGTGAACCCCGGGACCTGGGCCCCGGAGGAGTTTGCATTTGTTTACGCAGAGTGTGACGTCACGCGGGCGGGAGGGCGGGGCGAGGGCCTGGCGGGAGGGGGGGGGTCCCCTCCGCTTCCCTCGCTCGCGCGCGCTCACAGCAGTAGCTGTGACATGGCCCCTGGGGGGTGGGGTGGGGGGCTGCGCCTCTGCTGTCTCAGCCCTGGTCCTTCCCCTTCTTTCCTGCCCGGCGGCTGCAGAGCTGGGGACTCAGCCCGGGAGGCGGGATTTGGGGGGGCGGGGGCCGGGGGATGCTCGCAGGCGGTAAGGACCAGGTTGAAGCCCTGGGATACAGTAGCCAGCGGTGCCTCCTGCCGCCCTCTAAGGTGGTGCCTGGGTTTTAAAGAGGCTCCTCTAGCGAGAAAAAGAACTGCAATTGACAGAGCGCAGTACCCTTCCGGCCACTGGTCTCAGAATATGTATTTCTCTCCTTCAAGGTGCAAAACACTAAGGTAGCACCATCATTTTAAAAAATAGGTTTTTATTGATTTCAGAGAGGAAGGAAGAGAGAGAGAAACGTCAATGATGAGAATCATGGATCAGCTGCCTCCTGCACGCCCCACACTGGGGATGGAGCCTGCAACTGGGGCCTGTGCCCTGACCAGGAATTGAACCGTGACCTCCTGGTTCATAGGTCGATGCTCAACCACTGAGCCATGTCACCTGGGCAGTGGGCGGTTTTATATACTAGAATGATGAGCACTCTTGGGTT